ATGCTGCGTGGAGCACTGGGTGTTATGCCCAAACAATGAATCATGGAACACTGCATCAAAAACTAATGATGTAATGTATGGTGGTTAACATAACAATAAAAAAATTATTTAAAAGAAAAAAAAAGCTAAAACTATGAAGCTTGCCCAAAAAGTGGCAGGATGTCTTCTCCAACAGGGTAGGGAATGATTTCAGACAGGATACAGAGAGGGCAATAACCACAAAGGATAAAACTGGCAAGTTAGACTTCATTAAAATGAAAACATTCTGGGGGTGCATGCGATTCTTGATCTCCAGGTCATGAGTTTGAGTCCCACGTTGGGTATAGAGAATACTTAAATAAATAAACTTAGAAAAAAATTAAAATGTTCCACTCATCAAAAGACATCACTAAGAAAATTGACAGGCGGGGCGCCTGGGTGGCTCAGTCGTTAAGCGTCTGCCTTCAGCTCAGGTCATGATCCCAGGGTCCTGAGATCGAGCCCCGCATCGGGCCCCCTGCTCCATGGTAAGCCTGCTTCTCCCTCTCCCTCTCCCCCTGCTGTGTTTCCTCTCTCGCTGTGTCTCTATCAAATAAATAAATAGAATCTTAAAAAAAAAAAAAAGAAAGAAATCTTGAGTGTACCACCAGTTTTGCATGCCACAAACTGGGAGAAAATACCTTTAAAATATATATCTGACAGGGGCACCTGAGTGGCTCAGATGGTTAAGCATTTGCCTTCAGCTCAGGTCATGATCTCTAGGTCCTGGGACTGAGCCCCATGTCGGGATCTCTGCTCAGCAGGGAGTCTGCTTCTCCCTCTCCCTCTGCTTCTCCCCCTGCTTGTGCTCTGTCTCTCTCTCTCAAATGAAGAAATAAAATCTTTTAAAAAAATTAAAATATATCTCCGACAAACAGCTGATATTCAGGATATAGAAAAAACTCACAAGACTAAGTAAAGAAAGAAAACCTAATTTTAAAAAATGGGCAGAAAAGCTTTGGACAGACACTTCTTGAAGAGAGACAGACCAGTGGCCATTAATATCCTTAGTCATTAGGGAAATGTAAATGCAAACCACAATGTGATATCACTACACACCCAGCAGAATGGCTCAAACTGGACAGACAGACAGCATGTGTTGACAAGGACGTGGAAGAACTGGAATTCTCACACACGGTAGGAGTGCAAAATGGTAAAAGTGCTTGGGGAAAAGGTCTGGCAGTTTCTCATAAAATGAACATACACCTACCCTGTAACCTAGCAAATCTATACCTTAGATATTTACCCAGGAGAAATGAAAAGTCATATCTACAACAAGACACGTCTAGAAATGCTCCCAGAGGCCTTATTCTTAATTGCCCCTAACTAAACACGGTTCACGTATCTAGAAAAAGGAGAGAGAGTAAGTAGACCGGTAGATCCAGACAACGGACATTCAGGCAATGCTGGTGAACAATGAAAAGGAAGGAACTGCAGATACACACCCCATGAGGTCACACGCACGACAGAAGCCTGCAGAGAGGAATACTACATGTACTATTTCACTCCTGTGACTTCTAGAACAGGCAAAACTCATCTGTGGTGGGAAAAAATCAGAATGATGGTTGCCTGGGATTCAGGAATGAGAATTAACAGGATGTCGGGGAGCTGCCCAGAGTGATGCTAATATTCTGTATCTTGATGGCCCTCTGTCACACGGAGTGTAATTTGTCCATATGCATTAAGTGGTACACTCAACATTTGTGTGTTTCAGTGTATGTAACTCTTACCCCCAAAGGAAAAAAAGCACAAACCACTACTGAACTCTAATTAATGTTATGCACAATGAGGTACTGGGGGCGGCGGGGGGGGGGGGGGGGGGGACCGGGGGAAGGCGTATACTAGTGTGTGCAATTTTGGCAAGCATTAAAATAAAAACTGGATTGCCAGAAGATGAAGGGATGGAGAGATGTGATAAAGTGACTGTAATAAATAATATATATGATAAAATGGTAACTGTAGAACCTAGGAAGTCTTAATGAGTGTTCACTGTAAAATTCCTTCAGTGGTTTGGTATGTGAGAAAATGGTCATCATAAAATGTTGGCAGGCATACCCACAAAGCTGAATATACCACCTCACACTTAAGCATCCTTTCAGGTGCTAGAAAGAGAAACTAGAAATCAGTTTTAAATAAGCGTAGGCATGGGACAATAAGACCCTAGTGTATATGGTGCCATCAACCGTAAAGAAGTAGTTTTCATTATTTTTTTACGGTTCTTTGAAACCTAACATCTATATATCAACATCTTCGAGTTTCTGGGTCATTGCCCTGTAAGTGTGGAGAATACAGGGGAGAAAAAACAGAGGTTGAAAACTTGACCTGCATCACAGGGCAGAAAGAATTTCCACAGGCTGGCTAAAGTCTCTCAAAGGCAACGAGAAAGCAGCCATGTGCAACACAGAACAGGTTAGAAATATTCTGGAGAGCATTTGGTTATGGTGGCACCTGCAGAGAAGGACAGAGGAAGCGTGGACAGTCCCGCACGCAGCCCCTGGAGGTGCAGAGGGGTCCCAGGCTCCACAGCACCTTCGAGACACAGCACTCATCACCAAGACAGATGATTCACGGTGGAGGCGACCCTGGCGGCACGGGTTCTGTCTGGTCAACTTACCCAAAGGTACTCTCCATCCACCTTTACGGCGAACTTCAGCTTCCGCAGACGGACGAGGGTAGGAGCAGAGGTGGAGAGGTCCAAGATACAGCGCACGACGCCCGCAATCTGGCTACAGAGCAACTCCTGCTGGTCCAGCAGGGTCTGTGGGGAAGCAGAAAAGTCCAGAGGGGAAGCTGAAACTGTCAAACTCGTGCAGCATCCCTTGAAGCAGGGGCTGAGGCCACAGCGGACTGCAGCCAGCAGGGCAGATCCAGGCTGCTGCCTGGTTTCACACGGCCCGGGAGCTGAGCGTGGTTTTCATAGTTAAGGGTGGTAATAGCAACAACAAAGAAGAAAGTGTGTTGTCGACCCTCCGTGGCTGGCAAGGCCTCAATATTGACTCCTGGGCCCTTGTCAGGCAAAGTCTGCGGCCCGTGCGTGGGTAGCAGCAGGAGCCTTTGGTCCCTATTCAGATCCCCTGCAGAGTGGCCAGAGTAGCCTAGGTTCATCCCAGCTACCCAAGTGGGAGCATGATCATGTGAACAAATACACAGACCTCCTAATCGGTCTTAGCATTAACTAACCTGTGGGGCAGCCAAACATCTTGTAATGCAAAAGAAAAGGTACACACCCCCAGGAAGAAGTCTTGCTTAAAAGAACCGAACTTGAACTTAATTGAGGCTCTAGATCTTACTACTAGTGTAAAGGAACTACAGGGGAAGGAAGATCTGAAACTACACGGCCTTGAAGAAGTGATCAGGCCAATCCAGAATGTGGGACCTTCTGACATTCTACTGCACAAATGCCCTGGCTTCTTCGGTAATTCTGTGGCGTAGTGGGGAAAGGGGCTGGGTGGGTGGGTGAGGAGTGGTACACAATAAAAGAGACTTAAAACACAAAAGAAGCAATGGAATGTGTGGACCTTGTTTGGATCATGACTAGAAGTGGAAGGGGGGAGGTGAGGAGGGAAGGAGGGCTGGAGGAATGGAAGGAGCAAGGTCTGATTAAGTAACCTCTAAGACAGGAAGGCAAAATTTGAATACAGATAGTATCACATGATACTAAGGAATTATTGTTACTAATTAACTGGTTCATGAGGGCTTGTGATACTCTTCTCCTCCCTGCTTTTGTATACCTTTGAATAAAAGTGTTTTAGGGGGTGCTTGGGTGGCTAAGTCGGTTGAGCATCTGACTCTTGGTTTCAGCTCAGGTCACGATCTCGGGATTGCGGCACAGAGCCCCAGGTTGGGCTCTAAGCTCAGCAGAGAGTCTGCTTGAGATTCTCTCTCTCTCTCTGCCCTTCCCCCAACACACACGCGCTCTCTCTCTCTCAAATAAATAAATCTTTAAAAAAAAAAGTGTCTCAAGAAGAATTAATTTTAAAAAATTTAAAAATTTAAAAAAGTGTTTCACTTTTAATTTAAAAATGTTAATTGAAAAAAGTGTTTTTGCTGATGAAAACCTGGGAGCAAGGGGAGGCAGACAGAAAATCAGGATGGTAGCAGAGAGCTAGAGAGGATGGAAGTGCTGAGCTGTCTGGGGTTTTCAAGACCAGAACAACAAGAAATAGTACAACTAAGGATAAGAGGGTAGAAATGTCAAATGCCTGGGTGATGCAAAGAACACTGTCCCAATGTCAATGCTATACTTTTGAAAAGCCACCACTTGGAGGCCGTAGGGACTCCACCCCTGGAAGAGTAACCCACTGGGGTGCTTACCTGAGGAGGGTAGAAGTAACAAATACCAGCTCTGGTTGGATCTCCTTCTTCCTTTACCTTTGAACCATCATAAAGGAAAAAATAATTCCACCTGGCAAGAGAACAGAACGGAACCATGTTTCCTTTCATCCAGGGATCAAGGCATTTGAAAACACAGCTTCCTCTTTCCCAGCATGAGAAGGGCTCATTACTCAGTATTTGAGAAGCCTTCTGGTGGCCCCAGGGAAGAAAGAACCCAGTAGCTACAAATAGATAAGAAAAACCATTTTGCAAGGGCCTTCCAGTCAAACTAAAAATATACCTCAATCCAGCCATCAGGCTGTCTGGCTGAAAGACCGAAGAGTAGCTGGAGGAGAAACAGAGCACCCAGGGCCATCTCTTGAGACACGGACCCTTAACCATATAACCACAGGGTTTGGGATGCTGTCTTTTAAGGCTCTGATAATAAAATAGTTAGGGGATGTCTTAGCTGCCCACTTCACAACTGCTGGGCACGAATATCTCCGGAAATATCCCTTGGATCAGAAATTCATGCCTTCATTTAATGAACAGTAAATTAGGCCTGATGGTGTGCTCTCCCTCTGCCAGACCTGGGGCCGTGGCCATCAAAGGGAGACAGTAAACATACAGTTTCAATGCAGGATAGGGAGTCTATAATGGGAAAACGGGGCTCATGAGAGTTCACAGTGGAGCCCTGAACCCCTCTCTGCCTGGCAAAACCCTAACAGTATGTTAAGAATAACTCTGACACGACCCTTCATCAAACTTCTGATTTCCTCCACGCAAAGGAATCTCTCTTCTCAATTTCCATAACCCCCCGTTCTTCGCAAAGGACTCTGTCTACTCTGCAATGTAACCATAATTAACCTGTTTAAGACACACAAAGCAGAATCCCCAAAGGCTGGGCCTGGGTTTTACCTCTCTGAAAGCACACCCATCAGGCTAGAGCAGAAGGAGGAGGAGCTGTGACCACTCTGTCACCCGCACTCTTCTTGCTGGATCTACACCCTCTCCCTACACCCTCCCTGGCTCCCACCTTTTCTTCCGGATCACAAGTGGGAACTCTGTTTCTAGTGCAGGGCAAGTCAGATCAGAAAGCCTCAAAAACGTGCCAACCCCAATCAGAAACCCCAATGCCGGGCCCCCGTTTACCCGCTCCTTATGTTCTCTGGGTGAAAGCACCCTCACTCAGGCACACAAAAGAAAACCGGGGTGTCATTTTGAACAACTCCATCTTTGTGCCTTCCGCGCACATAACCGATCACCGAGTCCTGCTCCTGCTCATTCTATTTAAACCATGCCTTTTGCTTTCATTCCTCAATGAATGTTTGCTGAAGCAATTGACAAGAGAGGCTTAACCCAGTTGGGGTTGAGAGGAAACTGAGTTTAGGCAGATGTTGTATAATACCCTTCAAGAAGCGGACTGGCCAAACCTCTTCCAGTGGTGTGGCTCCACTAGAAATGTGCAGCCATTTCTTGTCTCTTCCCAATGAAGGCTACAGCGCCCACACCGTCATCAAAGCTGACTGTGTGACCTGGCCATGGCCATCTTTTCTGCAATCTACCAGCAATGCCCGAATGCTCCAACAATGCAAGGTCACAACCCGGCAGCTCTGGAGAGAAGTGGCTCACATGCTTGATTTGCCTGCTTGGAGAAAAAAATGCCTCCCACCCCTCCCCCTTAATAAAATCAAGACAGCCTGGCTGGGGATTTTCAGTTAATCCAAAACATGGGTCCAGCAGCCTGGCAGGAAGTAAGCCACACAGGCCTTGCTACTCACCAGGAGGCTGACGTCGGCTCTGTCGAGGTAGTGGTGGCCATTTACTTGCCTGTCGCCCTCATTCTATTTATTTGGGTTTTCTTGTCTGGGATCGCTTCTTGCACCCCAGCAGCAACTATTCCTTTGTGTCCCGGATCCAGGAAGTCCAGGCGTGAAAGGTTTAAATGTTTTCAGCCACAACTGTCACCTGCTTGGTTTTTATTCAGCATGAAAGTGCTACTTCCTTCCCCGCAGGCTCTTTGGTGCCCTGAATACCTCCACCCGTCTTAGAACTCTGGGAGAGAGTATATAAAAAAGCAAGAGAATTCTACCAGAAAAGTCAAATCCACTAAGCTGGTTCCATGAGCATCAGCATTCTGGCTCTCTGCAGAACTTCTTCAAAAAGCTCCTGGCCAGGAAAGCCCAGTCGGGGAGATGCATGCTGAAGGCGGTGTTCAGAAGAGATTCCTAGCTTGTCTGGGTTCAAAGCCGTTCTGAAGATTCTTTTCAACTTTGTGAAGCTTCCCGTTCAAATATCAGTGCCTTGGTCCTAAAATAAACCACAAGGAATAGATCATTTCAGAAACCCATGAGAGAGCATGTGACCCAGCAGGGTTAGGCAAATGGTATACTTCACAAAGAGTCTTCTAGAAAGTTGAAAAATTGTGTTTCAGAAGAAAAAAAGAGAGTGCAGCAGGACTTCAGAGCAAGTTCCTCTGTCTCTTTGAACAGTTATGCCTCACAGAAGATAAAATTAAATAACTAGTGTGAAAAAGCTCCGTGTGCCAAGGACAGCTATACAAATAAGGCGGCTGTTGCAGTAATAATGGAACCCAAATTAAGGAACTGTCACCTTGACAGCTCAAAAGTAATCTGAACATGAATTCCAGAGCTGGGCAAGCTTTCAAAATAAGAGTTTAACAAGTGGCTTTCAAATTCCAAGAGAAGAGATGATTAAGTATCATGGAATTTCAGTCAGAAAGGACCCTGGCATCATTTACTCTAATATTTATCTCTTGCACTCTTTAAAAATTACCTGGTCATTGGCTTACTCCCTCCAGACACACAGGCAACTCATAGTGTTAACTTTATCCTTCCACGAAGCTAAAACTGGCCTCCCGGTAACCTCCCCAAACTGGTCTGGATAACCCTCCAGGAAAACGAAACAGGGTTTAATTTTTCCACAAGAAAACCCCTTGGTCCCTCCAGAACTGTATTTCTCTTGTGACTTTATCCAAGCTTGATGTCCCAGACACAGGGTTTCAAATGCTTTCTCACCATCTTTCATCCTCCTGGGAATACAATAGCTTTTTAAAGCTCCTTTCCTAGAGAGAATTACCTAGAGAGGACCCCACTGACTCTTTGAGGACTGTAAAATCTCTATCTTTTCTCAGCTTTAGATATCTTGAGGTGAACCCTCTCTGGGGCCATACTCATGGGACTCCTGTGGAGGGGCGTGGAAGCTACTGGAATCAAGGACAGCAGCCTGAAACCCTCTATCCCTCCTTCCCAGAAGACTGGGCCCTACACTGCCAAGGTCCAAGCTCTTATCTCTGAAAGGTCCAGAAGAGATCCATAATGTCCCTGGGGTAGGGCAGGTGCTGGGATGTGACCACACAAGGCTCGGGCAGCCTGGGAAGTTGCAATAACGACCCAAGGGAGCCAAGAAACGGCCGGCAATGGCTTGGAGGCAGGACGGTGGCGGTATAGGAAGTGGCCTCAGTGAGTCAGCGGGCCAGGAAAGGGGGTGCAAACTAACCACTGCGATCCGAATCGGGCTAAGCGCACTGGGAGGTATCTGGCCTCAGCTCCTGGGAATTTGTGGGCAAAGGTGTGTGGGGGGCGAGGGGTCAATGCCGGCGATCGCCACGCGGAGGGGGCCGCCAAGAGGCGCTCTCGGCCACGGTCCCGGCCCTCAGTGTCCCCGCGCCGCCCACCCGCCGGAGTAGCCCGGGAGCCCAGCGCTCCGGGCTCGGACCCCACAGTGTGGGCGGCAGCGGGGCGCCAGCGGATCCCTCCCGGTACCTACGCGCGCGGCGGAGAGGCCCCAGGATCACGCGCCGCCAGCGCCTATCGCCCCCTACAGTTCTCCGAGCGCCGGCGCGCGGTGATGACGTCAGGCGGCGCGCCGGTGACGTCAGAGAGTCATGGCAGCGGCGTCGGAACCCTGGCAGGCTGTGGGTCCGCGGAGGAGAAGGTGCTCTGCCGCGCGGCGTCCACGGGGGAGGGAGGCACCGGCCCAGGACCCGGAGGGCGAGCCCCAGGCGGACTGCGGAGTCGTGCTTCGTCGCATCCGGGAGGCTGGGTGAGTGCGGGCTTGGCCCTGGGACCGAGCCTCAGTCTGGGCATCTGTAAAGTGGGCGGAACCGCAAACCCTTAGGGTTATTGTGAGTATTTAAGGGAGGTAAGGAGTTATTACAGACTGGATCTTAGTAAAGGTTGTCGTTCCTTTTATTGCACTTCCAGCTGCGTGACCTTGGGTAAGGTATGTAATCTCCGTGCCTCAGTTTTCTCATCTGAGAGGTGGACCTGAAAACAGTACCTCTGTAGGCTTGTTTTGAGGATTTAGTGAGTTAGTTAATGTAACCCACTTCCAAAGTAAACGTAACCCACGGTTCCTGGCGTGGGGTAAGCACAGTACCAGTGTTTGGGATTAATATTATACCAGTATTGGTTATTGTTATTGCTAGCGCCGGGAAAGGAACACCAACGTGATTGTCATCCTCATGATTGTCATCATGAGTTAATTGAGGAGCTGCTGTGTGCCTGCCACTGGCTTAAGCATTCTACACTATCAGTTTGAGCATCTCAGTCAGCTAGGATCCTGATAGGTCTCTGAGTCTTAGAGACACAGATAATGTTTGGAACCAGATTTCAAGCCCTTGTCTTCGCCGCTCCAAAACCTGTGCTTCAAAGCTCTCCATGATTGGGGCTTATCTCAGACCCCCATGCCTCCGTGCTTGACTCTGCACCGTACAGCTTAGAACAGAACAGAGGAATAAATGTTACCTATTTTTGTTACTATTGTCTTTATTCATTTGCAGTCCTTTAAAGGCGCAGTAACAGCGTTTGTTAGTGATTCAGATCAACCCCTGAAGAACCATCCCAACTGAGAGAAATTAGACCAATTTTATGTGCTCCTCTCCCCCAGAATTAGGGTCAAGAGACAGTGATGACTCAGAGGTTACCACTGAATTAAAGAAGTTGGCTGCAGCAGCGACTTTTTGTAGGATCTCAAAAGACACCTATGAGATGGTACGTGCCCAGGGATTTGGAAAACCCGTAAGGCACTTTCTGTACACCCTGCATTGTTATTCTTCCTCCACTTCTTCAGGATCCCCCAGGAACCCCCTGCTTCTTCCTGTACCCCAAAGTGTGATGCAGTGCCCACTGCTCTGAGTAGAGAGGAGCCCAGCACTTTACATGCTGTTCTGTGCACGCCCTCACCAGTGTACAAAGCTCTCCTTTAGCCTCTGCGAGGAATATGAGGGCAGCCTCCCGCGCGGATTTTTGCAGTTCTCTGTACTTTCTGAGTCCCCTGAGTAATGGTGTATGGCTTATCTGTTTAAATCCAGTTTTGTCTTGTTTGACAAAACTTTTTTCTTTTAACTTTTAAGAGTACTCTCTTAGCAAATTCCAAGTTTGCAATACAGTGTTATTAACTATAGTCACCATATTGTACGTTACATCCTGTGACTTACTTATTTTATACCTGTAAGTTTGAACCTTTGACCCCTGTCACCCGTTTCACACCCATCCCCCTGTCTGTCAACCACCAATCTGATTGCTGTATCTTTAAGCTCAGTTTTTTGGTTTTTTAGATTCCGTGTAAAAGTGATGTCATACAGTATTTGTCTTTGACTTCTTTCACTTAGCATCATGCCCTCAGGGTCCATCCATGTTGTTGCAAACAGAAAGATTTCGTTCTTTATTATGGCTGAATAGTATTTCACTTTATATACATACACCACATCTTTTTTTTTTTAAAGATTTTATTTATTTATTTGAGAGAGAGAATGAGATAGAGAGCATGAGAGGGGCGAGGGTCAGAGGGAGAAGCAGACTCCCTGCTGAGCAGGGAGCCCGATGCGGGACTCGATCCGGGGACTTCAGGATCATGACCTGAGCTGAAGGCAGTCGCTTAACCAACTGAGCCACCCAGGCGCCCTACACCACATCTTCTTTATCGATTCATCCCTCCATGACACATAGGTTGTCTTCCTATCTTAGCTATTATAAATAATGCTGCAATGAACATGGGGGTTCATATATCTTTTCAAATAGGTGTTTTTGTTTTTTTTGGATAAATGGCCAGAAGAGAAATTGCTGGATTGTAGGGTCGTTCTACTTTTAATTTTTTGAGGAGCCTGCATACTGTTTTCCACAGTGGTTGCACCTACTTACTGTTCCCACCAACAGTGCACCAGGGTTCCCTTCCTTCCACCTCCTTGCTAATGTTTGTTATTTCTCGCCTTTTTGATACTAACCCTTCTAACCAGTGTGAGGTGATATCCCATTGTTGTTGTTTTTTGTTTTTTGTTGTTTTTTTTTTTTTTGGCATTTCCCTGATGAGTAATGATGTTGAGCATCTTTTCACATACTTGTTGGCTCTCTGTGTGTCTTCTCTGGGTAATGTCCATTTGGATAATCCTTCCACTTTTTGATCACATTGTTTTTTGTTGTTATTGAGTTGTATGAGTTCTTTATATATATTGGATATTAACCTTTTATCAGATCTGTGATCTGCAAATCTTTTCTCCCAGGCGGTAGGTTGCCTATTTATTTTGTTGGTGATTTTCTTTGCTGGGCTTTTTAGTTTGATGTAGTTTCACTTATTTATTTTTGATTTTGTTGCCTTTGCTTTTGGAGTGTGATCCAAAAAAATCCCTGCCAGGACCTATGTTAAGCAGCTTTTCCCCTGATTTTTCTGCTAAGAGTTTTATGGTTTCAGGTCTTACATTCAATTCTTGAATCCATTTTGAGTTAATTTTTGTCTATAGTGTAAGATAGTGGTACAGTTTCATTCTTTTGCATGTGACTGTCCAGTTTTCTCAGCACTGTTTATTAAAGAGACTATTCTTTCCCCCTTGTTTATTCTTGGCTCCTTGGTCATAAGGTACTGGACCATAGAGGTGTGGGTTTCCTTCTGGGCTCTCTCTTCAGTGCTGGTGATCTGTGTGTTTTTACGCCAGTATGCCAGCAATCACTATAGCTTTGTAATAGAGTTTGAAACCAGGGAGCCTGATGCCTCCAGCTTTGTTCTATCTTAAGATTGCTTTGGTTATTCAGAGTCTTTTGTGGTTCCATACAAATTTTAAAGATTCTTTGCCTTATGTCTGTGACAAATGTCATTGGAAATTTGATAGGAATTGCATTGAATCTGGAGATGGCTTTGGATAGTATAGACATTTTAACACTATTAGTTCTTCTAATCCATGAGCATGGAATGTCTTTCCATTTACTTGTGTTGTCTTCAGTTTCTTTCTTTAA